TTTGAAAGTCGAAGACGAGGTTCAGTACAAATATAATAATAAAATTCTTCACAATCAACGATGCATATAATAGCAAATAATAGTGTATCTATTATATTCTATTTGTAGTCAATCTTCAAGAAGAGACTTTAATGATTCTTATACAATATTATTAGAAGGATTGAAGCAATATTTTTTTGTATTTAACTACGCTGCTGCCAGATTCATTCAATTAGAGTACAAAAAATAATCAAATGACACGATCATGTTTTAATGGTCACTTTCCGTTGATTTTAATAATAAGTTACGTCCAATTGAAACGGTACGAAAGAACACAAAAGTTGAAAAGTTGAATTTGAAGATTTGATTTTGTTTAAGTTTAAACTTTGAATATGTAGAAACATAAAAAAAAAAATTTAAATCAAAATGAATCGAATCTTAAGTTTATCCGATTGATTAACCATGTGCCATATTTAATTTGTTAGAAATTATCCCTCCTAACTTAACTTGAAGTTGTTAAGTTGTTTAAAATATTTTATCATTTAAAGCTCATTTTTTCAAAATAATTCTTTTATGAAAAATAATTTTTCTGGTATCACATAAAAGCTGTTTGGCGATTTAATAATCTTACTGCCTAAGTGTTCTAATTTATTCTAAAGGTGTTCTTTTTTATTTTATTACTTCTGAACTCGTTTACGGCGAAACATCATTCTCTTCTCGCGAAGTAATAAAATTGCGATGCAAATGTTTAATTCTAAAGGCATTTTTTTTAATGGATAATTCTCTTGCATACAACGTTTAAAACGGTACTTTAAAATAATGACAAAAAAAAAAAAGGATATAGAATATAGCTGAGATATATCCCATTTTATGTGATTATTTTAGGCACATGTATTAACAATATTAAGTATTAAAGATAGTTATACATATATATTAAACTATGGTTTACATTTTAATCTTTTATCTTCCACTGCTACATTGTGACCTATAATTATTTTATTAATTTCTAAATTTTTAGAAGTATATTTATAAAATATTTATATCTGTATGTGCAATTTCTTATAGATTAATATATCTGTAAAAAATTACAGAAAAATGCAGAAGAGAAGCTGTTTCAAAATAGCATTACATGTAGAGTAATAAGAATATTATGATATTCAATATACTACATTACACTAGACGGAAAAGTGTTCAATTATTAACTAGAAAGAGAAAAATATTTTATTACTCTTTAACAAGAAACGATCAAAAATGCATAATTATAGTCTTTTATACAGTTACATTGGTGCATGCAGTAAATGTAACTGCATAGTCAATTTATATATGTAATTTATTTGCTACGTTATACCTTTTATATGGGTGTAAATTTAATTAAATTTAAAAATGATTAAATGCTGAATTATTTTTTTTTCATAATTCTAAATTTATTTTATTATTATTTAATTATAAATTTATAAATTACTTTGAAAAACCTAAAAACTATCAATACTAATATTTTTAGTTATATAAGAATTTTTATTAAAAAAAAAAAATATAATAATAATATAATAAAAATTTCGGAAAAATTGAATTACTCTTTATCATTAATTAGAAAAGAAGAGAAATTACAATATATATTTAATATTAAGGCATGATTTAAAGTAATAATCATATTATCATAATTAATCTCGTAAATTGATGTACAGTTACACCTTGTAATTCTATTAATAGAATTTATATACCTGTACCTAATTAAGTAATTGCCATAGTTGCTTAAAAATATATTGTATATTTATTTGTACAATAAATGTACAAACAGACATAATAATAAAGTTATTGTTTATTTTTGAACTCATAAAAATCGCTATCAAAAAGATTTCATATTCTCTTTCTTACTTTTAACTTACAGAAAACAGAAAATTTTTAATTTTTTTTTTTTTTTTTTACTTAGATTAATTCAGAATATGAAAAAATTCATTAAAATAAATATGAATGTTAAATGAAAATTAGTTATTTCAATTATAATTCTATCTGTGCATAATATTATATATATATATAAAATATATATATTATATATATAATATTTTTTCATCAATTATATTTCATCAATTAGATTTGCAAATATGAATAATATTAAGTGGCAGTTGCAAAAAATAAATGTATATTTAGGATCTTAAAAACCTAAAATATATATTAAAAAGAATTTTTAAGATATATTAAATGTATATAAGAAAACAATAATATTACAGATATTTTCGATTTTAAATACAATTTATGGTCACCTATTTCTATTATCATGATTACAAATGAATAAGTAAAATTATCAATTTTATTACAAGATGAAATATTATTTGCATTAAAAAAAGGAAATACATAAAAAAACAAAGGATATTTTTGTTGCATATTTAAAACTATGATGCTTAATAGCACAATATGACTAGATAAAAATGCACTTTGTTATATTACTTCAAAGTAGGAGTACATAAAAAAAATAAAAATTTAATCTGCAACATTCTATAATTTTGCTAATCTTTTTCTTGTA